AGTAGTTTAAAAATACGATTGAACACGGCCATACGTTTCAAGAGATCAAATTCTTTTGAGTACCGATTACTCACGCCATAATCTGAACAAAATTCTAAACATTCAATTCACTGTCAATGGAAGAGAATATTATTTTATATGGGAAATGATGGACGCAACAAAAAATATCACAAGGTCATAAACTTTTGTCATATTAATAAAAATATTTTGAACATTTTGTTACAATAATTTTTGGCAAGATTATGCATTTTGTGATTAATATTATGAAATTTTGTGATAAAATTAAATATTTTTGTGATAGAATGGATACCACATTGTAGAAATTTAATGTATAAAGAGAAATGGAGAAATTGTATTATTGATTGATATAATGTTCTATATTTTACAATGATTCATGATTCCTATATATAGAAGAGGGTGAGTGTGTAGTAGGTAAGGAGTAGGTGAAGTGGAGGTGGCAGTGGTGTAGTGGGTTAGGTTTAGTGGAGTAGGTGAGGTGGTAGTGGTGTAGTGGGTTAGGTTTAGTGGAGTAGGTGAGATGGTAGTGGTGTAGTGGGTTAGGTTTAGTGGAGTAGGTGAGATGGTAGTGGTGTAGTGGGTTAGGTTTAGTGGAGTAGGTGAGATGGTAGTGGTGTAGTGGGTTAGGTTTAGTGGAGTAGGTGAGATGGTAGTGGTGTAGTGGGTTAGGTTTAGTGGAGTAGGTGAGATGGTAGTGGTGTAGTGGGTTAGGTTTAGTGGAGTAGGTGAGATGGTAGTGGTGTAGTGGGTTAGGTTTAGTGGAGTAGGTGAGATGGTAGTGGTGTAGTGGGTTAGGTTTAGTGGAGTAGGTGAGATGGTAGTGGTGTAGTGGGTTAGGTTTAGTGGAGACTGTAGGATGGTGTATATAAGCTGCCCAAATATATATATATATATATGGAGATATATAGTGAGCCCTCAAAAGTCGCGCCCTCAAAAGGCGCGCCCACTTCATCAAAAGGCGTGCCTGACAGAAAGCGTCGAGCCATCAAAAGGTGAGCCGGAGACGCGGCGAGGCACGTTAGCGACAAAGTGGCGTGTCGGCCTCGGCTATTTAACCAAGGTTGAGGCGGAGGCTGTGCAAACCAGTCTGAAACCGCCGAAAATCCTTTGAAAAAACTCTCCGTTTTTGAGAAAGAGATTCTGGAACACTCTGTTGCCATTCTGTAACAATCTGTAAATACTCTGTATCCAACCCTTCTCGGAAACACTCAGCAACCCAAAAAACATGGCCTCTCTTCCCGTTCAGCTACCCAGAACATGGCCTCATCTTCCCGTGGTCTGCTCACTCTCTTTCCCGACCTCAACGAGTCAACAAGAGAGATAACTGGTGCGGTGGCACTGGAACCTCAACCAAGCGCCCCGGAGTTTGTCCGTTGAACTTTCCGATGCGGTCGGTGGAGCAAAGAATGGCAGTGCAGTCGGATGTGGAGGCCAATCAGTATACTTTGAAGTCATGTGTGGAAACAATGACGGCGGTCACAAACTTGTCGAACCGGCTGCAGAGTAGGACAAATGAAGTGCAGCATTTAAACGCCCAACTGGCTCTGCTCCAACCCATGTATAAGGATGCGCGAGCAGAGATAAGTGTGCTGAAGGCAGAAAATAAGGAGTTTAAGCGGAAGGCCACCGTTATGTTCCGATTTGGAGGGCCGCCATATGCTGCAGTGGAGGAGTATGGGGGAGTGAACGTGCCAGCACCGTCAAGGGCCGCCCATGACGGAGGCAAAAAGAAGAGACCGGCTGCAGAGTAGGTCGGTGGGTGGCCGTCTGCAGAAAAGAAAACAAATCTGTTATTGTTGTGATGGTGATCTTGTGTGGTTTTTTTTTTTTTTTTTTTTTTTTTTTTTTTTTTTTTTTTTTTTTTTTTGGTTGTGGTGTAAAATGTGGATCGGGGTGACCCCCTGAGATGAATAAAATATGGTTTGTTGTGCAAATTGGTAAATGGTTTTTTTTTTTTTTTTTTGTGGAATATAAAAAAAATAATAATAAGATAATGGAAAAAGGGTGATGCTCACTAACGAGTGGTATAATAATGAAATATTGATGGAAAAAAAAAGATAGAAAAAAAAAATAAAATGAAATAAAATAAAAGTAGGGAGAGGAGAAATAGATTATAATAAAAAATATATATATATATATATCTTAAAATAAAAGAAAAGTGTGAAATAAAAGAAGAGTGGTGTTTGGTCAGACATGGGGGTGATCAAAGAGAATAAAAAAATAAAGGGTTTGAAAGTGGAAAATAAAGAAAAGAAAAGAAAGAGGAGTGGGGAACAGAATATCACATGCTTTGCTCGAGTTGTCACGGCAGAATATCATCCACACATCATACCCCCCTCACATCAATAACCCCAATAATCTTTCAAAGCCTAAAAAAGATAGGGCCTGAGAACAAAAGGGTTAGAGCTAAAGAGCAGAAAAACAAGTGTTTGTTTTGGTGGAGGGTCACACTGGCCTTGCTGTCAGTGTTGGTAATGCTGGTGCCACTTCCTGTGGGGCCTAGGCCAAATATAGAGGAGGGAGTAGTTGTGGTTGTGGATGGAGTTGTGCTTGTTGATGGGGTGGTGCTACTCCCTGCAGAGCTGGGATAAACACATCCAGAAGTTGAGCTAGTGAGGGTCTGAGTGGTGGTGGCAGTGCCTGTGAAATCACAGCTGCCAGTAACTTGACTCTTCTTCTGAAAGTAGCTGTTGACAGTATAGTTATAGTGATCGAGAAGATGGTACAAGATGCCGAAAAATACAAGGCTGAGGATGAGGACCACAAGAAGAAAGTTTGAGGACAAGATGAAGGAGCTGGAAGGCATCTGCAACCCCATCATTGCCAAGATGTACCAGGGTGCCGGTGGTGCTGCTATGGATGATGATGATGCTCCTCCTGCTGGTGGTAGTGGTGCTGGTCCCAAAATTGAGGAAGTTGACTAAGCTCTTCAGTTTGCGTGATGGCAGGTATGTATAGAAAATAAGCGAAATAGGTTGAAGTCCGGCGGACGGCTAAGGTGAGGTTGCCGCCCGCCGGTGAAGCGAAAATACTAGGTTCTAAACCGTTGCTCTGATACCATGTAGAAATTTAATGTATAAAGAGAAATGGAGAAATTGTATTATTGATTGATATAATGTTCTATATTTTATAATGATTCATGATTCCTATATATAGAAGAGGGTGAGTGTGTAGTAGGTAAGGAGTAGGTGAAGTGGAGGTGGTAGTGGTGTAGTGGGTTAGGTTTAGTGGAGTAGGTGAGGTGGTAGTGGTGTAGTGGGTTAGGTTTAGTGGAGTAGGTGAGGTGATAGTGGTGATTTTTCTTTTAATTATAACCCTATAATCAGGTGTAAAACAAATGAAATATAAAACTTTAAATTGTTGACAGAATAATGAAAACCTGTGAATAATTTATAAGATATAAGGTGTCACTGCTGTGGAGCCCCTCGAATTTTGTCCCATACTTAATTTTAGGGTTATAGAATTAACGCAAACTAATTTAAACACTCAATTATCAAATAAAAATATTAAAATATATATTATAAATACAAAAGTTTAAGTTGCATCAAGGCTGACACACACAAAACAAAACAATTGAAGGGTAACCTAAAAAGCATGGGACCAATAGGTTAAGTAGGAAAATACAACCCCTCTTCCCGGGAGATTGTCCCTTACAAACCAAACCACCCCGTCGCCTACTCAAATGAGAAATCTGAATCTTCCCCACCACCATTATCACCATTACATGACTTGAGACTTTACTCATCTATCTTTTAAAAATAATCATATGCTCTCATGTGATTTTACATCAAAATATAATGGTTAACTATAAATGCAAAATTATTATTGAGAGGGTAATTTTTGGTAAAAATTGGGCCGAGCTGCGAAGATGGACTTTATGGCCCAGAGTACGAAGGACAGGATAAAAAGGCCCAATGGAGATGTAAAACTTACTCCGGTCCAAGAATAAGAACGTTACTCCGGTTTAAGAGATAAAATTACTCCGGCCCAGAAAAAGATGAAGTTATTTCGGTTTGAGGGTAAATGTACTTCGGTCTGAAAGCAACTTGAAGTTATATCGGTCGTAAGTCGTTAGTTCGGTCCAAACATACCATGGGTTGAACAGGAGAAAACCGAGGTAAGGAGGAGTAGAGTGAGAATCGAGCCAAGGGTAGTTCGGCCTACTCTGTGGCTCAGCATAGCCAGTTTTACTTCGGTCGTGTGATAGTTCGGCCATAGTGAAAACCATCCCACTTGGTTTAAGCAGTGGGGGGGGGGTGTAAAAGGATAAGCATTATCCTTCAGGAGTATGAATCCTAGGAGGACTCTGCATGGAGGAATAAAAGTCCTACTAGGATTATGCCATTCGAAACCTATAAAAGCTCACAAACATCACCTTGGAGGAGGTAACAGAACACAACACAATTTTGCTTTATAAATAAATAAATTAATTCATACATAAATACATAAATAAAAAAATAGATATATTACATTCGTTATGATTATACTGAAATTGATTCATCATTATACTGAAATTAATTAATTCATCATTAATTAAAAAAATAGAAAATTGATTCTCATACATTACATACATTAATTAATTCATCACATAACATACATTACCTTCATTATACTGAAATTGTTTTTCTGTTATTTATTTTGTGTGTTGTGTAGTACGTACTATTACTAAGTAGAAAATGACATCGGAAAGTAATAGAAAAGATCCGGCGTGGCAATATGCCCATTTGGTGGAGGAGAATAATTTAAACAAGTTTGAGTGTAATTTTTGTGGTAAAATATCAAATGGAAGTGTTTATCGGGTGAAACAACACCTTGCGGGAGGTTATAGGAATGTTACTGCTTGCCCGAAGTGTGTGTTTATCGAGTGAAACAACACCTTGCAGGAGGTTATAGGAATGTCACTGCTTGCCCAAAGTGTCCTTCTCATGTAAGAGAAGAGATTAGAGAGTTCATGTCCAAAAAAAAAGACACAAAAAGAAGAAATGAACATGTTGCCTGATTTTGATGACATGGACATGGAAGATGAAGATGAAGATGTCGTTGAGATCAATGTCAATCAACACCGCAAGTTGACAAGTAGTAGCCAAGGTTCATCCACATCCAAATCAAAATCCAAATCAAAATAAAAAATGCCAAAGAGAAAAGGGCCTATGGATGTTTACTTCACACCCAATCCTGAATCAGTGGTGAAAATCGAAAAGACCAAGCAAAAGGGAAGCAAATCAAAATTGATGCAAATGACCCTTACAAAAAAGAAATGAGAGCTCGGGCACTGCAAAGATTTGCAAGGTGGATGTATGATGCTGGTATCCCTTTTAATGCAGTAAATTATGAGAGTTTTGGACCAATGATGGAAGCCATTGGCCAATATGGTCTTGGTATGAAGCCACCGACTTACCATGAAGTGCAGGTTACCCAACTCAAAAAAGAAGTGAAACATACTGAAGATTTGATGAAGTATCATAAAGAGGATTGTGCAAAATACGGGTGTTCCATAATGGCAGATGGTTGGACTGATAAGAGAGGAAGGACATTGATTAACTTTTTAGTTAATTGTCCAAGAGGAACCATGTTTGTTGAGTCGGTTGATGCTTCTAGCTATTCAAAGGATGGGCAAAAGCTATTTGAATTACTAGACAAGTTTGTGGAGAAAGTTAGAAAAGAAAATGTGGTGCAAGTTATCACTGATAGTGCTGCAGCTAATGTATTGGCGGGTAAGAATATTTCCTCATTCCTTACATCAAAATTGTTTACTCATAGTTTGTTTTGTATTTAAAATTTAAAAACTTGAAAATAATAATTCTTCATTATTGTTACATTATAGGGAGGTTTTTGGAAGCTAAGTATGAACACTTGTATTGGACACCATGTGCTGCTCATTGTTTGGACTTGATGTTAGAAGACATTTTCAAGATACCTAGACTGAAAAAGACATTTGAAAGGGGTATTGCAGTACATGGCTACATTTACAATCGGCCTACGTTGCTAAACATGATGAGGCGCTATACAAATTTGAAGAATTTGATCAAGCCTGCAAAAACTAGATTTGCAACTGCTTTTTTGACTTTGTTTAGGATGCATCAACAAAAAAATAATTTGAGAAAGATGGTCACCTCCGAAGACTGGACCTCAAGCAAATGGGCAAAGGAGCCACAAGGTAAAAAAATGGCACAAACTTTGTTGATGCCTTCATTTTGGAATACTGTTGTGTTTGCCCTTACGGTCTCGGGTCCTCTTGTCAAAGTGCTTAGATTGGTTGATACCGAGAAAAAACCTCCCATGGAATACATTTATGAGGCAATGGATAGGGCAAAAGAATGCATTGCAAGTTCATTTGATCATAAAGAAGAGAAGTATAATGAAATCTTCGAAATCATTGACAAAAGATGGGAAGTCCAATTGCATCGACCTTTACATGCAGCTGCGCATTTCTTAACCCAGAATTCTTTTACCCAAAAGCGTTAGGTGCAAAGAGATCATGAAGTGATGAATGGGTTTTATGAATGCATGCAAAGATTGGTCCTGGATGTCACTGTTCAAGATTTGATTACTAATGAGATGAGTATTTATATGAAGGCTGAGAGTCTTTTTGGCAAGTCTGTTGCGATTAGGCAAAGAAATACAAGAGCACCAGGTAATATATTATAGACTCATAGAGTTTATTTTTAGTAATACTTTTAGTAAAACTAAATACTTGGTAACAATTATTTCTAACTAGTGGATTATCGCAGCTGATTGGTGGGCATCATATGGTTCTTATACTCCAAACTTGCAAACTTTTGCCATAAAAGTCCTTAGCCTAACATGTAGTTCATCGAGTTGTGAACGAAATTGGAGTGTATTCGAACATGTGAGTATTTAACATTCTAACTAATTTTTTGTTCAATTCAAATATTTTTTATTCTCATTATATAGAATTTAATATCTTTTTAATAGTTGCAGCTTCATAGCAAGAAAAGAAATATATTGGAACAACAACGTCTCAATGATTTAGTGTATGTCAAATACAATAGAACATTGAGATTTAGGTATGACATGCGCAACACTCCTGATCTCATATCTTTGCAAAATATTGATGAAAGCAATGAGTGGTTGCTTGGGAGGATGGATGGAGAATCAGATGAAGATAATGAGCCTGTGTTTGATGATGATGATGGCTTGACGTGGGCCACTGTTGCTAGAGCTTCTGGAGTAGAAGAAAGTAGCCATGCAAGTAGAGCAACAAGTTCACGCTCAAAGGCACAACCGAGGATATCTAAATCATCAACATTGACTCCACTTCAATTAATAGATGAAGAGGAAGCGGGCTCAGAGAGGAGGAAGGTGTTGAGGGATACAAATCAACTGATGGAGAAGAAGATGATAGTTTGTTTGCCATTGATGTTGAGGATGATGATTGACTAACACCGACCTAACCTACCATTTCTTTTGATATTAATGTTTTTAAGTGTTAAGACGTATATTAGTATTTGTTGGATATTTATGTTTTGGATGTTTAGTGTTTATGTTTTTATTTTTATTTTATTGAATGTGGATTATTTGATCTTTAAAAATTGAAATGTTATGTAATATGCACTTTCATGGCTTTGAGAATTATTCTATATTTTGTCTTAAATCTTGATTACTTTTTATTTTTTAAAAAATTGTCTTACTACTATGAATGATTAGTCTATATTAATTTTTCTATTTTTTACGAAAACTGTGCGCCTTACTTCAATAAAGCCCGCACCTTGCCTTGCGCCTAGGCCCCGAGAGACCTTCAGCGCCTTAGTGCGCCTTGAGCCTTTAAAAACACTGGGAGGGTTACTTTGGTCAAGAGTATCTTGTCGAGTATCCCAACTTATTTTATGTCGTTTCATGTGATTCTAGTGGTAGTTGCAACGCGGGTTGAGAAGTTATAGCAAGATTTTTTATGAGGAGATGAGGGGGAAGGGTTCTCATTCTCATTTGGTGGCGTGGGATCGGATTTGTCGTCCTAAGGAGAAAAGGGGTTTGGGGGTTAGGTGGTTGGTTATGTTTAATTTAGCGATGCTAGGTAAGTGGTTGTGACATTTTGTAAGGGAAAGGGAGCATTTATGGAGGAAGGTAGTTGTGGCAAAGTTTGGTCTGGGAAGAGGGGGGTGGTGTTCAGGTAGGGTGGGACAGCCTCATGGTCATGGTGTCTGGAAAGGAATTTGGTTGGGCTGGGAGGAGTTTTGGCAGAGGATTCAGCTGAAGGTAGGGTTGGGAAATAGAGTCCATTTCTAGCGTGATAGGTGGTGTGGGGATACTTCTTTAGAGCAGTTGTTTCCTTTGATTTTTCGGATTACAGAAGATTGTGAAGTTATGGTGGGGGCGGTTCGAACAGGGCAAGGATAGGCGGTGGTTTGGAACGTGCGACTGCATAGTGAGGTTCAAGATTGGGACGTGGATCAGTTAGTGGAGCTGTTAGATTTCTTATACTGGTTGCAAGCTAGGAGTGCAGGGGAGGATTCTATGGCTTGGGTCTGTCCGAGCTCTAAGAGGCTTTTTTCTGTGTCTTCGTCCTATGGTGCGCTTATTTATGTTGATGCGGTTTCATTTCCATAGAAATGTTCTAGGTGTCGGGCATGCCATCCAAGGTAGCTTTCTTTGTGTGGACGGCAACCTTAGGACGTATTCTAACGATTGATAATTTGATTCGCCGTAGGAAAATACTAGTGAATTGGTGTTGTTTGCATTGTTGTGGTGATACTAAGTTGGTGGACCAATTGCTCGTTCATTACCCAATTACATCTCAGACTTTGGATGCTTATTGTTGCGACTTTTGGTTAGGTTTGGGTGCAGCTAGGTTTGGTGTTGGCAATCTTGCAAAGTTCTCATTCGATTTCTTGGTTGGAGAGGAAAACTTTTTCTGGCGAGAAGGAACACTATGGGATTTTTTATAATGTTTACGATACTGTTTGGAAGACTTTTTGTGATAAGATTTTTTGGTTTTTGATGGATACTGGATCTTGGTGTCATAGGCAAATTGATCACAAAATTCACCTAACTCTTGTTTACCAGTAAGATTCTATTTTTTCATCTGATATTGAAGTTTAAGGTCATTACACAAAGAAAGACCTTCTTCTAAAATTACGCCAATGAGTTGGCCATAGGTGTACTGATCATAAGGAATAGCCATACGATTATGGCGATCCCGAAGTTTTTTCCGGACCTTTTCAGCAAAAAAGATAGGAAGACCATCAATAAATTTGGCTTTCCAATGTTCACTGTTAGCGTTAGGGCACTGTATAACTTTCATTAAGAACACATCTTTATACCATAAAAAATGGGTTCAGGAAGGACATCGAAGATTCTGGAGGAGTTCACGACTACGATCACTGCTAACGGTGTCTGTTCCAATAAAATGATATATAATAGTTTGGACTAAAGTATAAACTGCATCCTCGTGGTGAACAGCAGTATTAGTGGTCGGATCAATTTCAGTTTTAATAGCATTTAAAATTTCATTCTGTTGAGTAGGAGTGAGAACATTATCCCACCATCCTTTAAGGATAATCTTTGGCAGACTTCGTCGCAGAGTTTACTCCTGGTAGTCATCATATCTGCCCAGTCGACCTGACTGACACAACCGAACTAGGGACGGAAGTTGACGCCGGAATAGCGCAACCCCTAGTAGAAGGTAGTCAATCAAGCACCAAGGCAGACCATACTAAGGACAACAAGGAAGAGACAAACAAAGGCTCACCAGCAGTTCAAGCAGAGGACGAAGGGCAGACAGCCAACATGGACCTTGAAGAAAACACCATCCTTGACCCCATGACATCATCTGACCCCACCACTTGCTGGAAGTTATTCGTTGGAGAGATGTGGAAGCTCTTTGTGGATAGAGCGTCCAACCGGCATGGTGCAGGGCTTGGCATAGTCCTCATCTCCCCAGACGGCCTGGTTGTAGAGCAAGCAATCAACCTTGGCTTCCCAGCACCTAACAACGAAGCGGAGTATGAGGCGCTTCTCGCAGAACTCAAGTCAGCCTACTACCTGAAGGCCACCGAACTAATGGTGTACAGTGACTCCCTACTGGTAGTAAACCAAATCTCTGGCGACTACGAAGCAAAGGATGACAGGATGGCCAAGTACCAAGAATTGGTCAGAACAGAGATCAAGAAGTTTGATGTAGTAAGGATAGAACAAATTAGAAGGGAGGAAAACAGCCGAGCGGACGAACTAGCAGGCTTGGCCTCAATGGCAGATACATCAATCCCTCATCCATTACTCATCGACTACTTACCAAGACCAAGCATAGAAGACCCCGAAGCAGAAGAAGTATGTTGCGCAGAGCTAGGCCCCTCTTGGATGGATCCCATCATCCTGTTCCTAAAAGATGGCATCCTACCAGAAGAGAAAAAAGAAGCCAACAGAATAAGGGCAAAGTTACAGCGATTTTGGCTATCTCCATCTTTGGCATTATACAAGAAGTCATTCTCAGGGCCTTACCTAAAATGTGTTCATCCCAACAAAGTGGAAGCATTCTTGTTCGAAATACACGAAGGGGTGTGCGGAAGTCACCAAGGGGGAAGGTCGCTAGCTTACAGGGCTATTTCGCAAGGATATTGGTGGCCATATATGCAAGCAGACTCAGAGAAATATGTGAAGAAGTGTGAGAAATGCCAAAAATTCACGCACCAAATACATCAGCCAGCAAGAGAACTCCTACCATTAACTAGCCCATGGCCTTTCGCAATGTGGGGCTTGGACATAGTAGGACCACTTCCAACAGCGCCCGGCGGCAGGAAGTTCTTCCTCGCAGCAACAGACTACTTCACAAAGTGGGTGGAAGCAGAAGCATTGGCATCAATCAAAGAAAAAGATGTAAAGAAGTTTGTTTGGCAGAACATCATCACTCGGTTTGGCATTCCAAAAGCCCTAATTTCAGACAATGGCACTCAGTTCGACGGCAGAATATTCAGAAGCTTTTGTGAAGAGTACAAGATAGAATTCTACAATTCTACACCGGCATATCCACAAGCAAATGGGCAAGCAGAAGCATCAAATAAAGTCGTCTTGGATGGACTAAAGAAAAGACTAGAAAAAGCAAAAGGCAAGTGGGCAGAAGAACTTCCTCATGTTTTATGGGCGTACCGCACCACACCTCGGCGATCAACAGGAGAAACACCATTCTCCTTAGCCTATGGAATGGAAGCAGTAATCCCACTAGAAGTTGGCCTCCCCACAATTCGAAGCGAAAATTTTGATCCAGACTTGAATGGAGAAGCCATAGCTATAGAACTCGACCTTGCAGAAGAAAGAAGAGAAAGAGCACTGGTTCACATCGCCTCATACCAACGAGAGTTAATCAGAAAATACAATAAGAAGGTGCATCCAAGACAATTCAAGATTGGGGATTGGGTACTGCGCAAAGTAATGGGAAACACCTCGGTACCAGGAGATGGCAAGTTAAGGCCAAACTGGGAAGGTCCTTACAAAGTGGTTGGGTTATCAGGCAAAGGGGCATACCACCTAGAAGACAAGGATGGCAAAGCAATCCCTAGGCCATGGAACACGGCCAATCTCAAGTTATTTTACTTTTAGCTTTTCCTTTTCAAAAATGTGTAATTTTCTCTTTTTTCAATAAAACAAGCGATTCTTTTTCAGCATAAAATTGTTCTTTGTAAAAGTTAGCTTTAAGGTTAGGCACATTGCAAGCATTTTATTCTAAGATTAGCTAGAAAAACTAACTTAGAGGTTGGCTGGATTAAACCAACACCTTCCTAAGCCCAGGATAAGAATCCAGGCTACAGGACGTTTGGTCGGAATAACCAAACATTATTCTAAGTTAGCTGGAAAAACTAACTTAGAGGTTGGCTGGAATAAACCAACACTTGTTACTCTTCAGCCGAAGTAAGGGTAAGGCTGAAGAGTGGTTGGCTGGAATAAACCAACATTTATTACTCTTCAGCTGAAGTAAGTGCAAGGCTGAAGAGTGGTTGGCTGGAATAAACCAACTCTTGTTACTCTTCAGCCGAAGTAAGTGCAAGGCTGAAGAGTGGTTGGCTGAACCAACACTTGTTACTCTTCAGCCGAAGTAAGGGTAAGGCTGAAGAGTGGTTGGCTGGAATAAACTAACACTTATTACTCTTCAGCCGAAGTAAGTGCAAGGCTGAAGAGTGGTTGGCTGGAATAAACCAACTCTTATTACTCTTCAGCCAAAGTAAGGGTATGGCTGAAATTGGATTGGCTGGCTTAAACACTTTGTACTCCTCAGCCAAAGTAAATATATCGGCTAAGGAATGGTTGGCTTGTAAGCATAGTTTAACCACCTAAAACCGAAATAACAGTTGGAGTAACTGAAGGCATTACAAAGTACAGACATACATATCAGAACCGGAACAAGAGTTCAAGCAAAACTTTTTCATTCATTGAAACTATTACAAAGAAGGTTC